CCTTGGGACCCAAGGAAGTATATGATGGTAAAATCTCTAGACTTTCTTATTGCCTCATATATCTCACATGTGGAGCTAAAGAAAATGGCCACTAGAAATACCAAAGGGTTTAGACAATAAAAGCCCAACTAAATCATGCTCTTTCTATTCTTGATCTTAGTAAGACAGAAAACTTTTAAGATAATAAACGTTCTATTTTAGTCACACTGCATGCACACACGTGACCCAACCTCCACCCAGCCAGCAAAAGTCAAGTGGGGAGTCTATACTTTTACCACCAGCAGACTTTAACAAGGTGACACAACCCTTATAGGGATGGTGTTAAAGGAGGTGAGTTCTGGTGACCATGACCTCATCTCCAGGGTGTGATAACAAGCCTCCCTATCACAGTGCAATGGAGACACCATAGGGAACCTGGACTTCTACCCTTGCCCAGTAGTAACAAGGCGATCCACCACTCCTTGTTGAGGTGGTGTCTGAGGAAGCCTAGTGGACAGTGAAGACTTTTTAACCATCCTCCACAATATCAGTAGAAGACAACTAGAGAGCAAAGTTATTAGAGACAGCCCTAGTAGGGATCTAGAACTCCAACTGCTGACCAGCAAGTGCCCCTTCCTTCCTCAGGTGTCAACTGTGGAAAAAAATGGGTAACCTGGACTTCTATACCCATGAGATGGCATTCCCCCTTATCCTGCTCAAGTCAGAGAAAGCCAGCTAAAACTGAATATATATATATAAGATTCAGAGTCTCATAATACTCCAAATGTCCAGATTTCAATAAAAAATCATTTGTCATACCAAGAATCAGGATGACCTCAACTTGAATAAGAAAAGAATGATTACCAGTTTCCAAATCCAAGATGATAGAGATGTTAGAATAATATGACAATTTTAAAGCAGCCATTTATAGAGTGCTTCAACAATTAGAAAGGTGCTTGAAACAAATGGAAAAATAGAATTCAGAAAGAAATGCAAGATACAAAGAAGAACCAAATGGAAATTTTAGAGCTGTAAAGTACAGTAACCAAAATTACACTTAATGGATGGGCTCAACACCAGAATGGAGGAGACATAGAAAAGAAAAATTAATTTGAAGATAGAACAATAGAAATTATCTAATCTGAATAACAAAAAAAGACACTACAAACAAACAATATATATATATTTTTTTAAATCCCACACAGAGCCTCAGAGATCTCACATTTGTGTCATTGGAATCCAAAAGGAAAGGTAAAAGAGGATAGGGCTTCAAAAAAGCAATAAGAAATAATAGCTGGAAACGTACCAAATTTCGGCAAGAGATGTAGGCATACAGACTCAAAATGTTTTATGAATCCCAAAAAGGATAAATTCAAAGATGTACCAAGATACATTATAGTCAAACTTCTGAAAACTAAGGAGAAAAAAAAATCTTGAAAGCAGCAAGACAAAAATAACACCTTATATATAGGGGAGGGAAGCAATTTGAACAGCAGAAGATTGGTCATAAGAAACTATGGAGTCCAGGGACGCCTGGGTGGCTCAGTTGGTTGGACGACTGCCTTCGGCTCGGGTCATGATCCTGGAGTCTCGGGATCGAGTCCCGCGTCGGGCTCCCGGCTCCGCGGGGAGTCTGCTTCTCTCTCTGACCTTCTCCTAGCTCATGCTCTCTCTCACTGTCTCTCTCTCAAATAAATAAATAAAATCTTTAAAAAAAAAAAAAAAAGACTATGGAGTCCAGCAGAAAGAAGAACAATACTTTTCACATGTTGAAAAAGAGAAATATTGGCACAGAATTTTATGTCTAGTAAGAATATCCTTCCAGAATGAAGGAGAGATCAAGTCATTCTTAGATGAAGGAAAGCTAAGAATTTGTCACCAGCATACCAACCATAAAAGAATGGCTGAAGGAAGTTTTCTAAGCAGAAATGAAATGATAGAAGAAGGAACTTTGGAACATTAAGAAGGAAGAGATTAAAATTTTAATAGTAAAAATATTGGCAAATACATTTTACTTCTATGGTCTACGTTAGGTTTTGATGATTAAAAAAACTACAACACTGTCTGATATAGTTCTAAAACATGTCTAGAGAAAATATTAATACAATTATACTATAAACAATGGAAACAAGAGGATGTGGGTGGTGTAAAGGGACTTTAGAGCAGGTAAGATTTTTACATTTCATTCAAGCTGATAAAATGTCAACACCAGTAGACTGTGTAAGTTGTGTACACATAATGTAATAATATCTAGGGAAAATGCTTAAAAAATGCTGTACAAACTTATACTCTCAGAATCATTATAATCATGTTGAAACTCTAAAATATTTAAGTAAACCGCAGGAAATTATGAAAAAATAAAATAAAAACAAAACAAAACAAAAAAACCCACAGAGAACATTCTCTTTGATGGCCGAGTAATATTCCATTTTATATATATACCACATCTTCTTTATTCATTCATCTATGGACTGACATCTGGGCTCTTTCCATATTTTGCAACAATGCTGGATGAACTAGAGGGTATTATACCAAGCAAAATAAGTCAGAGAAAGAAAAATATCATATATGATTTCACTCATATGTGGAATTTAAGAAACAAAACAGATGAATATAGGGAAAGGGAAGGAAAAATAAAGTAAGATGGAAATTGAGAAGGAAGAAAACCATAAGAGATGCTGAACTCCTGGAAACTAACTGAGGGTTGCTGGAGGGAAGGTTGGTGGAGGGAAGGGATAATTGGGGGAAAGGCCTTAAGGAGAGCACATGATGAAATGTGCACTCGGTCTTATATGCAACTGATGAATCAATAAATTATACCTCTGAAACTATACAAAACTATATGGAGAACAGAAGACAAAATAAAAAATAGCAGATATAAGCCTGAAATATCAATAATTACTTGTGTAAATATATAAATAAATCCATGTGTAAATTACATAAGTGTAAATGGTCTAAATCTAAAAACTGAAGACCTGAGATTAACAGAGTGGATTAAAAAACATAACCCTACTATATACTGGTAATAAAAGACAAACTTCAAACAATAATATAAGCAGGTTAAAGTAAAAGAATGAAAACCAATATATCATTTGAATACTGAAATCTTTCTATTTAAGATCTGGAGCAAGTTGTAGATGTCCTATTGTATTTCAACATTATACTGGAAATACTAGCCAGCCTGACAAGAAAATAAGAGAAATAAAAGGCAAATGAATGGGACAAAAAATTAAACTATCCCTATTTACAGATGACAAGATTGTCTACACAGAAAATTCTAAGGAACCTACCAAAAAACTCAGAATAAAACAGTTCAGCAAGGCCACAGGATACCAGATAAACATACAAAGAAATCAATTGTATTTCTATACTAACAATGAACATGAACACATAAGATACCAAATTAAAAGCCCAATATCATTTACATTGCCAAAAAAGTGAAATAATTATGTCTAGTTCGAATAAAATATGTGTAGGACTTTTACACTAAGAACAAAACACTGATGAAAGAAATCAAAGAAGATCTAAATAAATAGAGAATCATACCATGTCCACAGATTAGAGGCTCAACATAATAAATATGTCAAGATTTTGGGGCGCCTGGGTGGCTCAGTGGGTTAAGCCTCTGCCTTCGGCTCAGGTCATGATCTCAGGGTCCTGGGATCGAGCCCCGCGTCGGGCTCTCTGCTCAGCAGGGAGCCTGCTTCCTCCTCTCTCTCTGCCTGCCTCTCTGCCTACCTGTGATCTCTGTCTGTCAAATAAATAAATAAAATCTTTAAAAAAAAAAATATGTCAAGATTTTATTCATAAATACAAACAAAAGTATTCTAAAATTTAGATAGAAAGGCAACGTAACTGGAATGGTTAAACAATTTAGGGATAAAAAAAATACAGTGAGAGAAGCAATTTCAAGATCTATTACACAGCTACGGTAATCAAGGCAGTGTGTTTTCAGCAAAGGAACAGACACAGAGATCAATGGAACAGAACATGAACTTAGAATAGACACACACAAATATGCCCAGATGATTTTTGACAAAGGTGAAAATTGCAAAGCCAATTGCAAAAAAGGAGAGAGAGCCTTTTCAACAAATGTGCTGGAGCAATTGAAAATCCACGGGCAAAAAAACAAAAAGAGATAAAAGAAACACCTAACTCTCACACCTTATACAAAAGTTAACACCAAATGGATAATAGACTTAAATGTAAAAGGTAAAACTGTAAAACTTTTAGAAAAAAAAAAGGAAAAAATCATTGGGGAATAGGGCTAGGCAGAGGTTCTTAGACTTGACAGCAAAAATAAGATTGATAGAAGGAAAAATTGATTAAGTGGGTTTAACAAAATTAAAACTTTTCACTCTGCAAAAGACCCTATTAAGGGAATGAAAAGACAAGCTACAGCCTGGGAGAAAATATTTGAAAACCACATAACCAACAAAAAACTAGTATCTAAAACATATAAAGAACTCTCAGAACTTAATAGCAAAATAACAAACAATCTTATTTGAACACGGGGAAAGACATGAAGAGACATTTCACCAAGCATATGTAGGTGGCAAATAAAACAAACCAAAAAAAAAAAAAAGTGCTTTTAAATAAAAGTACCTCATACCAGAGTTTTTAAAAGTCAACTTTAAATGATGAGAGACCTAAAGGTGAAAGCCAACACTGTAAGATAATAGAACATTAGGAAAAATAACCTGATGTTAGAATAGATAGGAATTTCTTATCCTTAAAAATCACTGAGTCTATTCACAAAATGGAATTCCCGGGCCCAAAACCCTAGTATGGAAGTTCCACCAAGATATCACTACCAGATGATCTGTCTTCAATACCCCATCTCTGTTTCAGTTTCAAAGATAGTTGGAAACTCATATTAAAATGAAAAAGTTTAGGTAAAGAAAGAAAAAGAAAGGGAAGTGAAAAGGAAAGGAAAGGGAAAGAAAGAGGGAAGGAAAGGGAAAGAAAGGAAGGAAGGAAGGAAGGGAAGAAAGGAAGGAAGGAAACAAAAATGCACTCACAGTTCCTCCCATTCTTTTTTTCGTTGCTGAATCTTAAGTTGGGCCCTTTCAGCTTTTAATATAAGTTTCCTTGTTTTCTCAATTTGATTTTCCACCATAATTTCACTCAGGGTTTTAGGCCGAAACTTCTTCCCTTTTTCTATAATTGATTCTTCTGGCACACTAATGTTCCCACCTGTACAGAGAGTTAACATTTTTTTTTCCAATCTTCTTGAAACATCAAAATGAAATTTTCAATTTTTTTAAACCTGCCATATTCTAAAAAACAGAATATAATGAATCTATAAATCACAATTTGTTTAACAACTACCATGAATTTAACCCCATCATAAGTATTTTAGAATAACAAAATAAAGAAATCTAAGTCACAGTATTTGCTCTAAAGGACCTTATTGAAAAGTTGGCAAGACGAGACATATCAAATAATTAGAAAACAAGATAAATAATGAGGGGCCACTGACAGACAAACTGAGAAGTTGGGTGGGAATACTTGCGATATGGTGGGAGAAGGGAAAAACAAGCAGGTCCTATTTGACATATATAATTTGAGATGGCATGTACTGACTGCAGTGGTCTGTGGCCATTCGAAAAATTGGTCAGAAACACACAATCAGGGGTGCCTGGGTGGCTCAGTGGGTTAAAGCCTCTGCCTTCGGCTCAGGTCATGATCCCAGGGTCCTGGGATCGAGCCCCACATCGGACTCTCTGCTCTGCAGGGAGCCTGCTTCCTCCTCTCTCTTTCTCTGCCTGCCTCTCTGCCTACTTGTGATCTCTAATCAAATAAATAATATCTATCAAATAAATAAATAAAATCTTAAAAAAAAAAAAAACACACAATCAAACCTATGATTCCAGAATTATACATCTACTGAGGCAATTTCTTACTTTATGTTCAAGCTACAAGAGAGATATACTTTAGATATATATTTTGGAAAAAAGTTAAATAAATAGGGGATGGTCATATAATTATAACTCATAATTTTAACTTTCATATTTCAAATATATGGGAATATGGAAAAGCAGGAGTTTAATGTGGCTTGGGTCATTTTATAAGAAAAGTATAATTCAATCTGGAATCTCTAAGAACTTGTAGAATTCAGAGAGGAGAGGAATGAATTGGTCACTCCAGTAGAAGCCTGGGTAGAAAAGTGTCAGGCGTAATTAGGGAGCAGTGAGCAAGATAATAGGCTAAAAATACCAGCAGAACAGTATGAAAATGCACCATTAGTAAGAAACAGAATAGGGATATACTATGGAAAGATTAAATACCAGAAAAATGATTTCAGAATTTATCTGAAAGGAGCCATTAAAGTTTTTTCAATGAAGAGGATAAGCAACATTAATGTCAGTATTGTATCATGGGCACTAGCTGTGCTGTCCTTTATTTTTGATTGGGCTCTCTGAGTCATTCCCAGAATTCTTGCCTTCCTCCTAGTCATCTGCAGTCACCCTGTGCGCAGTTACAAGAGCAGGTTGCAGCAATTAAGAGGTACTCTTTTCACACCTGAATTCTCAGCTCATCATTCTGTTTAAAGTATGTGCTCTTAGAAAATAGATTGAAATGTCATCTCCTATCCCCACACCCTGGGGTAGGGTCCAAGAATCAGCAAAGAAACACTGCCTAGAAACTAGCAACTAGAGAAAGCCTAAATTTAAGAATAGGTAGATGTTGGTAGTAAGAAATTAGCAGCATCAAGTACTCTAACCCACTCAGTCACATAACCAGGGTGGGTTTTCCTTAGCAATCTGCATTAAAGAGCTGGTGTGGAACAACTGCTGGAGGAACACGGCCTCCCATTCTCAGCCATACCACACACCCCTATCATTCTTGATTATTATTCCAAAGGAATAAAGAAAGGGAGACAACAGATGAAGCTCAAGCCATCAAAAAGGGTTCAAAGGTTCTGCCTACAAAAAGACAAATTCAGTTTTGAAAACTTAGTAAGTAAGGATTTAAAAGCCTTCTTGTTATTTAGGCTACCTGTATCTTTCTGGCTATCTTTCCTTCCAGCTCCTTCTTTTTCCAGCCTCTCCAATTTGCTTGTTCTTCTGTCTGACAGACTTGTTCGCTTGGACTTGGAATACTTAGAGGGCTTCACAAGCCTATAGGAGGATATCTTGTGATCACTTTGTATGGCATGAACCACAATAGTATCACTTTCCAATGACTCACGAAATCTGAAAAAAATATAACAAGTATTTGCAATAGTCACCATCTAAATCAATTATACCATTTTATAGTTCTGCATGATTAATAAAATAAGACCACAATGCACTATGCTTATAAATATTATATTGTGCTAGATCCAAAATTTGACAATGCATTAACCAATATGATGTGATAGAAATTGCATAGGACTCAGTTAAAGAGCAAGTAGAATTTTCTTTCTAATGGAAACATTTAACAAACTATTATTAATCAGTATGATGCCATTGTTTTGCTAAGGTATAGAAAAATGAAAAACTTTCAGGCAGACTGTAATTTAATGGTAAGTGGATCATATCAAATTCTGACAAAAAGTAATCCACCTATCTATTATGTCATATGAGATATCTCGTGTGTGTGTGTGTGTGTGTGTGTGTGTGTGTGTGTGTCTCGTATATGTTACCCTTTTGCCTCTACAAAAAATATTAAACTCAGGAATTTATATTATTAGTTAGTTCACTTTTCTTTTACAGCCCACAGGAATTTATTCCTTATCAATTAATGGTTAATTGTTGTTATTTTTTGGGGGGGACTCGTTCATAATTATTCCCCATTCTTTAATTTTAGAATTTAACTTACTTATGTATATCGCAACTATTCCTAGTTTATCTGCCTTTCTTACTTTTTAAATCCAATCCTTTGAAATCTATTTCTTCTTTTAAAATGGTTATTTCTAATTTTCCCTTTTCTCTTATAGCATAGTATCTTTCTCATCACTATAAAACTTACTCTTTTTATCTTTCTACCTGCTGGAGTTTTACTCTAAATTTTATTCTTCCCATAAAACACAGAAAACATGAAGGAAAATATGGATAGTTTTGGTCCCATCAAAATTTAAAACTTCTGTATAGTTAGAAAAATGTGAGCAAAGTTTAAGGCAAATGGTAGAGTACAAGAAAGCATTTCCAATATGTATAATTAAAAAATGCTTACAGAAATAATAAATAAAACTAAGGGAGAAAATAGAACTCAGGGGAAAATGAACAAGGAATCTTTCTCAGAAGATTAAATATAAATGAACTATAAATGTACAAAAAGAAATACTCCTAAGAGTAATTCTCAGAAGAATATCAATGAACTACAGACATATGAAAAGAAGTGGTTAACTTCACCAATAATCAGAAAAAAAGCAAATTATTCTTTAAGCAAGAGTTATCTCATTTGGTTTATTAGGATGGTGGAGATGAAAACACTGGTAGTATCCAGTGTTAACCAGTGGTACAACTTTATTCTCTCCCCCATTCCAATCAGATAGTGAGGCAGCTTTTTTCCTTCCATATGTTTAATGAAGACACAAAGCTGAGAACAGTACATCCTGGACAGGGCGGGAAAGCAGAGAATTAAGGAAGCATGTACTTGAAGGCAAGAAGATTGGGAAAGAGGTTCCACCTGACAAGGGGGTTATGCACAAATTGAGTCCTAGAGTTGTGGGTACATATTCCCTGCTTCTGACAGCTTCTGGGGTGATATAAGGTCCCAAAGATAATGACTGCATGTGTGTTTGATCCTGGGAACAGAGGCTCCTGGCCTTACCAAAAACTACCTGTTCCAGCATAGTACAGGAACCATAGACTCAAGCAAATGAAAGCAAAAGGCAGGCTGGGACAATGAGCCTCACCAGTTTAAGACTCATATTTGCCATATATATATATACATTCACAAATATAGTATGAATATTTGTTAAAGCCAAAAATAGGATATATTATGTTGAAGGTTCTTCCTGAGAACTCCTTAGCTACTTTCATCTCTTGGCAGTCATCTAGATATAATTCCAAGATTCAAACATTCAGGTATTAATATGAAGTAACAAGTACCATGAATCACAGAGCAGGGTACCAGAGAGGAAACTACTGTATAGGGAGAGATCTTTGAAAATCTCTCTTCCAGGCTTCACATGATTATTCCTCACTGTATGCATGTGATGAGTCCACTTGAAGCTGGGGAAAGAATCACCAAAAGAGAACAGGCAGAATAATCCCCAGGCCTCACACAGGTTGGAATAGCTTGTGTTCTCACAAGCCCCATGATACATAGAACATAGGATACAGTATTCAAAAGGATTTTATCTTAGCAGTGAGGAAAAATAAGCTCTAAAGGCTGCCTAGACTTAATCTGCCTAACACAGATTAAAAACAAGACTCAAAAACTAAGTTTATTTCCAAGAAACTTAACTGAGTCCCAAAATAAGACTCAAGAATATTTAAAAGTGACAAAAACCCAGCGCCCACAATGTGACATTCATGTCTGACATCCAGTCAAAATTTTTCAGGAAGGCAAAGAAGCAGAAAAATATAACCCAAAATAAAGAAAAATTTTTCAACCAACAGAAATAGACCCAGAAAACACAGATGATATAACTAGCAGACAAGCACATTACAGTTATTATAATATATTTTATATTTTCAGGAAATAGAGAAAAGCATGAGCACATTAAAGTGAACGAAATCCTTACTTATGACACTAGGAAATCAATAAATAATGATTAATAAATTTATATAAATACATTGTTTAGTTATAACCACTAGAAGAAATTAAAAGTGGATTCTCTTTAAGATCTATCACATTTATGGATTAAAATACTCAGTATTTATTTTTAAAATCTATTATACCAAAGTTGATCTACAGAGTCAGTGTAATTCCAGTCAAAATCTTAGCAGGTATTTTGATGAAAATTGACAAGTTACAAAGGACCTATGTAATACTGAAGATGAAGAACAAAGAGGATTTACAATATCAGATGTTAAGAACAATTAAAAATAGTGTTATACTAGAAAAAAAAATAGTGTTATACTAGCACAAAGACAGACCAATGGAATAGTATGAAGAGTTCAGAAATGAATATATATAAATATATAGTATATTTATATGTATATAAAATATTTATATATAAATATATGTATATAACATACATATGTTATGTATATATCATACATATACACAAACATACATATATACCAACATATATATGTATATATGTAAATATATAGTTACTTCATTTATGACAAAACTATCACTATAATCTAATGAGGAAAGGATGGTCTTTTCAACAAATGATATTGTCAATTGAATATCCATTGAGAAACAAATGACATCTCCATCTTACACCATCCCAAAAAAAAATCAATACAGATAATGACCCCTGCTTGTGCTCTCTCACTCTCTCTCTGTCAAATAAATAAAATCTTTTAAAAAAATAGCTTTTGAATAATACACAGAAGAATTATTTCATGAACTGGGAATAGGCACAGATTCCTTAATTACAGCATAAAAACATGAACCATAAAAGAAAAATATTGATAAAATTAACTTTAATAAAGTTAAAAACTTCTACTCAAAAAAAGACACCATTAAGAGAATGAAAACAAAGCCACAGATTAGAGCAAGATATTTTACATGCATACAAAAACACACACGCATCATATATATACATGTATCACAAATACATGTGTCATATATCTACAAAAGATTCCTATCTAGAGGAGAGGCAAGATGGCAGAGGATTAGGAGACTTGAATTTTGGTCCCAGGAATTCAGCTAGATAGTTATCAAACCATTCCGAACACCTACAAACTCAACAGGAGATCAAAGAAAAGAATAGCAGCAATTCTAGGAACAGAAAAGCGACCACTTTCTGGAAGGTAGGACTTGCAGAGAAGTGAATCCGAGATGATATACGGGAAGATAGACTGCAGTGGGAGGGGCCAGCTCACTGCAAGCTGTAGAGCAGCGGAGCACAAAATTGGAACTTTGAGAAATCTGTTCCACTGAGGGACATTGATCCAGAAGCTAAGTGGGGGTGGAGCCCTCATGGGAACAGTGTGGTCTCAGGTCCCTCAGGGTCACAGAAAGATGGGGGTTGCCTGAGTGCATCAGAGTCCCAGGTATCGGAGAGGGGAGAACAGCTGGAGAGACGGAGCTGAGGAATGGGCTCTTAGCTTGGGGTTACCTTAAACCATGATCCAAGGCACAGTCAGGCCACCTCTCTTATGGCAGAGACCCAACAAGAGGCAGATCCAGAGAGACTCACCTTCTTCCTCAGGGAGGGACAGCATGGGAGTGCACGGCAGGAATCTACTGGGTTTGGAGACTCTGAACAGAGCAGGATGCCAGAGATAGAAATGATTGTTCACAGACCAGTGAGTACGGAGTGCAGCCAGAGACCAGGGAGACAGGAGGGATTGACTGCTTTTCTCTGAGGGTGCACTGAAGAGGGAGGGCCAAGCTCTCAGCTCCTATGGGAGGAGATTGTGAGGGCGCTATTCTCATTCCCGTCCGCCAGAGCTATATGGAAAGCATTCAGGGAACAAAATCACCTGAAAGTGAACCTGAGCAGATAATTGCCTGGCCCCTGTAAAGGGCAGTATAATTCTGCCTGGGGCAAAGACATTTGAGAATCACTGCAATAGGCCCCTCCCCCAGAAGATCAGCAAGAACATCCAGCCAAGAAGAAGTTCACAAATCAATGAGAACCATGGAACTCCAGAGATAGGGGAATGTAGCATGTAGAATTCATGGTTTTTTTCCATGATTCTTTGGTCTTTCAAAGTTAAACTTTTTAAATTTTATTTTTTCCTTATTCTATTTTTAAAATTTTTCCTCTTTCCTAATTTAACTTCTTAACTATTTTATCTTATCTATACCTTTTTAAAAATCTTTCTAAAATTTTTATTGTTATTGTCACATTCTATCCCTTCATTGTATTTAATCTTATTTTTTGTATACATATAAGTTTTTCTTTCCTTAAAATTTTTGGATATAATTTCATCTAACAGGTCAAAATGTACCCTAAATCTAGCGTAAGGCTTTGTTCTAGTCTCCAGCCTGATCAGATTCTCTCCTTTTTTCTATTTTTCCTTTTGTCTTTTTTCAACCAACTTCTTATCAATTCCTTTTACAGAATCTTTTTTAAATTTTCACCTTTACAGCCATATTCCATCCCTTCATCATGTTTACCCTTATTTTTGTGTATATA